CACTCTTAGTGCTTTATATTCTCTTACTTTCTCAGAATGCTTCTAACAAAGCTCACTTTGCAGGGAACAAAAGAGCTATTTTAATAGTAAGCTTGTACAGGTAGGCCTCAACCTCAATCAGTATGCTGTACTATGTTTTAAGAGGCCATCTTGGGCCATTCAGTAACAAGTACGATTTTGAGAAGTACCAGACATTGACCAGATATTGGTTTAAAATCAATAATTTAGATTACTGACCAATTTATGCAATTTGAAGCAGATGGCAAAAACAATTTTTCGCTTGAAAGGCCTAAGAACAAAGTCAACACTTCAGTGCAGGCAAGCCACTGTTAGCTTTTTGCAAGGCATTGAAGATTTGGATGTTTCTCCGGCTATTTGACTGAGGCAGGTAGATGAGCTCTGTTGTTAATGATGTGCATTTTTCATAAGTGGTGTTTATTTATTTTAAAAAATGTATACAGCCGCCCACTCACAATGATTTTGAGCGGCTTACTGAAAAAGGGGTATTGTTATTATTGGGTGGGGTGGGGGTGTTAGTCTTGTGAGATTCCAGACTAGAAACACACTCAGGATATTAGCAATATCTTTATTGTAAGGTTACATTGGCAGAATCTTGCAGGCCTAAAATCATATCTCTCCACTTCCAAGAAACTACGAAGGCTCCCTTCTGAGACCTTTGCCATCTTCCATTCATTTCCCCAGCTCGTCTGCCTATTATCTGACCATTGCCAAGTCTGTGGTTCTTCCTCCTACCTCCCAAGATCATTCCCACATACCATTACTTTGAGGTAAGACAAGCTAATCTTTTTTATAAATAAATAAATTACAGGATTATATGTGGTGGGTTTTCTGTATTTTAATTTTCATAATTCACTTGTGGGAGATGGGTGGCTATATAAACCACATAAATACAAAAATAAACTTTGTCTCACTCCCTTGAATGCATATAGTACTGTATAAAGAACAGTGTAATACATGCAGGAATGGGGTGCTGGATAGAAGCTGTTTGCTGATCTATTTCTTTCAAAGATGCAATCCTAAAAGCGTTTTCTCCCCTTCCCAGTCGTCTAACATTATTGCAATATTTGACGTGCTGTACTTTTATCTTTCAATCTACCTCCTTGATGTTTAACCAAACAAGTTATTCTTCTTCTTAGCGTGGAAAAACCGTAATGCATGCAGCTTCAGCTGTCTAAATTCTATAAATATGTCAGGCAAGTATCAGTCCATCCCTTCCCCTCCCAACAGAAGTGGACAAGGTGGAACAGTAGCTTATCTATACACTAGTCAGAGGAAGCGAGTGGGTTCATTTAAATGCCGAGGGGCCTTTTCTAACAGAATATATCAATCAATTGTGATGTCGGGTACAATTGTTATATTTTTAATATCCTGGCCAACAGGTGAGCAAGCTAAAAGGTAACCCACTTGCCTGTGGCAGAAATTTCCAACAATTTGTCTGGAAATTGCTTTGGCAATACTCCAGAAAGAGAGAGGGTGCTTTCAGATGAGGCTTTTAATATCTAATTGTCCTTTCACATTCACAGAATTTTATGGAGGCACAAATAGGGAAGAGATGAGCTTTCATACAGCGTTGTCCTCCTTTTTGTAAGCATTGTTTTAGCCTTTTTGCCTTTCCCGAAAATCTGTTATGGAGGGGGAGAAAAGGAATGCAATAGGTACCCCTACATTTTGGCTTAAGAGATTTAAAAATTGTTGGTCTAGAAGAGTAATGTTGACTCTGCTGGTATCCTCTCCTCTCTCTCCCTCCCCCTCTCCTCCTTTCCCCCGCCCCCCGCCCCACATACACACTGTACAAAAGGGAAACAATTCTCTTACCTCCACTCCAACCCATCGAGGCCACCCTGAACAGTGGCACTCAGCAGCAACATAGATGCTGGGCACGAAGCAGAGGGCTGGGCCATGACTTCAGCCCTAGTAACACTGCTGCCATTCAAAAAAACTACCACGCAAACCTTAGGAAATGGTGTGATTGTCCCCACAACCCAGCAATCCCCAGGATTTGCTGTGTACCGCATACCTTCAGCTGGTGTTCTCTTTCTATTGACAGGCTCCTGGGACCTACCTGAGGCTGCTCTGGACCGCACGAGGCCTTCATTCTGGAACAACTTTCGAGAATGCTCTTCCACAGTCTCTGTAGGTTTTGAAAATCACTCAAAAACACACCCTATTCTTTCACAATCTGATTGATAGACACGAAGAGCTACTTTACTTATTCTTAAGATTTTTCAGGAGGCATGAAAAAAGAATTATACTAACCATTGTTGAAGTAGAGAAATTAAGGAGCTGCCCAATTGTGTAAATGATCAGAGTTCTTCCCTCACACAGATTTTTGCCATGAAGGAAGATTGCATGTAGGGTTACAGGTAACCATCAGGAGAGGTAAGGAGATGAAGTCTGGAAGAGACAGAAATACAATATTGGCACAATTTACAGCAGGTTAAATACCACCCCTCTCTTGCTCTAACTTCAACCAAGTAATGAAGACTGCAAGACCTGTATAGGTTTCCATGTGGGAACCGCAAGCAAATGGTCGATGAAGGTTGTCAAATTGTTTGCAGGGCAATAATTGTGTCAGGATAAGGGGGACAATAAGGGGAACAACCTACACAAAAACCCGAAGAACTAACAGGAATGGCTAGGATTAAGATGAAAAAAATGTCATCAGGCTATGACAATGAACAAAGGTTATCCATAATACATTACAAAAAAAAGTCTTCCTCCTCAAGATCCATTACTTAATTAATCTCAAATAAATATTGCCCTATCTCCAACTTCTCCTGCTGGGAAAGGTTGTGAAGATAATACAATTAGGGAAGGCTCTGGGTGGTGTGGATAATCTTGGTCCTTGTCAGGTACAAGGAACTAAGAACAACAGAAGGAGTTACTCTGGAGCTGTTTCTTTATTGCTTGCCTATAGACAGGAATCTTGCCAGACTAAAGCACAAATCTGCATAACTATTAGGAATACCCAGTGAAAGGGTAGGAAGTGTCCTCACTGGCTTTCCTCCTGCCTACTAAAGACTCCATACTGATCTGCCTCTTTGCTTCTTAGTGACTCTGTATACATTCCTCCTCAGTCTTTCTGGATGTAAGCCTTGGTACTGAATGAAAACTGCACTGATTGCTCTTGTGAAAGACTTATAGCAGGACTAGGATTGGGGGGGG